AAATTAAGTTACCATAACGGGTATATAGGGTTTAGGGTTTAGGGTTACCATAATGGGTATATATAGTAAATAATAGGGTTTCCCCAATATAGTAACTTAATTTAAGTTCCTTAACAGCAACCCAGCTTCGTGCGACATCCTCACCGTCTCGCATCCTTGCCAGGTAGCGTTCCTGCCAAGAGTAGGGCACGGCCTTCAAGTCTGGACTGAAGCAACGTGAGATCTACAACAACGATACCACCCCATTTAACATTTCATGCTCCATGTGTTTTTCCATTTGATTCTCCATGTGCTGTTCCATTTGATTCTCCATTATTGGGGTGATATCCCTATATACCCCTTTAAAGGGACCTAGGGTTTCCATTTCATTTTCCATTTTCTTTTCCATTTGATTTTCCATTATTGGGCTAATGTCCCTATTTGTCCCCTCTATAACCGAACCCAAAACCCTAAACCCTAAACCCTAAACCCAAAAAACCCTGACCCTTTTGGGAGTACCCATAATAAGGACTATAATATTTTGGGGTCTATATTGGAGTCCCCTTATTTTGGGAACCTACCAATTCCTCACCTGGCGCAGGAAGGCGAGCTTCATCTCCAGCTTTGCCTGGTTCGAGGAGATGGCACGCAGGGCGGCGCCCGAGGCCCTTTTCCTGGGCTGCTGCTAAGGAGCTTAAATTACGTTAATTGCAAAAATATGGAAACCCGTGAATTTACTATACACCCATGATATGAAAAGTTGATTTAAGTTGTACTAGGGGAACCATACTCATTGTTCTATATACCCATTATGGTAACTTAGTTTAATCAAATTCCCCTAAGCCCTAAACCCTAAACCCCAAACCCTAAACCCTAAACGCCAAACCCTACACCCCAAACCCCAAACCCGAAACCCTAAGCAACCCAGTTTCATCAGAGCACCGGGACCGGCTGCCTTCACCGCTCCCGTCACCGTGCCGGCGATCATCCGGGAAATGATGGCGGCTGGGGCTACGCCCAGGACCGTAGCATCCTTGAGGGGTTTAGGGTTTGGGGTTTAGGGTTTAGGGTTTGGGGTTTGGGGTTTAGGGTTTGGGTTTTAGGGTGTATGGTTTAGGGTTTGGGGTTTAGGGTTTAGGGTTTGGGGTTTAGGGTTTAGGGTTTGGGGCTTAGGGTTTAGCGTTTAGGGTTTACGGTCAAGGATTTAGGGGACCATTTGAGGGTTTCCCAGAATTATGGGTACCATTTTGGGGATTCCTACAATAAGGACTATCATACTTTGGATTTTATATCGGGATCCCCTGATTTAGGGAAACTACCATTTGGTAGTGCTCGACGCTTGGGCCCAAATACAAAAAATTACGATGCGCATGTACCAAACGCGTCCTCATTGCCACAGGCCAGAATAGTCAGAAGATCTGCCAAGCCAAACATGAAGTTCTTAACCGTCAGGAGGTGGGGCTCCACACCGGAAGTGTCACCCCAATGAAGCCAGAGGCGCCATAAGAAAAAGGGGAGCTCCAAGGTCAGAAGCGAGCGATAAGCATCAATGAGCGTTGCACATCGCTGCATGCCCGACATCTCATCATCATCCGGGCACAGGTAGGACGTCTGGCACCACCCCGAGCACCTGTCAGGCTAAAGCAACAATGGATTCAGAGGCCAAGACCAGCAAGGTTTGAAGGCGAGCACTCCATGTGCAATCAGGGCGCATCTGCGCTTGGTTCGCACGAGGCTGGTCTTCAGTGGGCTCGAGTCTTTCCAGCGTGACTCCTTTCGTGCAGCAGGGTTAGGTCGCTCCTCTCCCACCCTGCCCGCTCCTTCTTCAAGTTCGCCGTGATCATATTCCACGTGGTACGTCGCCTGCAGAGAGTTGACACGCCCAGGATGTTTGGGTGGTTGCTTGTGGGCCTTGCCTGGTTCTCCTCGCGCTGGGCAAATCCCGGATCTCCGGCCTGAAAGAAGGAGAGCCCTTCGGAGTCATCCCGCGGCCAGACCAAGACGCGGGTATCAAGCTCTCCCTGCTTTGCGATGTCATCCTCTCACGCCCCGGCATCAGAACACAAAAAGGTTCAGGATAGACTTTCCTGCAGGACATTCCTGAAGCCCTCAACAGCAATGGTTTCTCAAGACAAGCATACCCATCATCTTGCTGAAGCTTCCCTGCTACTCTTGCTCCTCGGTCAGCTGCATACCTTTTGCCAAGAGGGCCTGGGCCCCTTCTTGGTCCAGCAAGCGAATTCGCTCCTCAAGCCTGAGTGTGAGAACCCCATGGGGTTTCAGTTTTGAATTGAAGGTATAGCCCCCCTTTAGGGTTTAGTCCCCCTTAAGTAGATAGAATATGGAATTGCCCCATATCATAGTAAGATCCCCATATACAGTTATACCCCATATTCTATCGATTTAAGGGAGGGTATGTTGATGAGGTTTTGCTGAAGGAACTCGTCCCCATATCTGGACCTGGATTTTTGTTTAAGGCAGGTGCGGTCCCCGTACCATGCAAGTAGCAACAGCCCCTGCACTTGTGTGACCCAAAACCAAGCCGAGACAATGTGATGCAGAACTGAATTTGCAACATAGATTCTCCTTCAGCAATGTATCCTGGGTCAAAAGCTGCTTCTTCTGCTCCATTGGGCTTGCTTTTGTCTCCCGATATCTGAACCAGGTATAGACAATCGGCGACAACACAGAGCAGATGGAACCAAGCAGCCTTGCCAGCAAGAGACAAAAGCAAACAGGAATCCTTCCGGGTTTGGGTTTAGGGTTTTATAGGGTTTATAGCGTTTGTAGGGTTATAGGGTTTATAGGGTTTATAGGGTTTATAGGGTTTATAGGGTTTATAGGGTTTATAGGGTTTAGGGTTGACAGCCGGACTGGCAAGGAGATTGGACTAGACCCTGAAAAAGGCAAGTCTCTGCAAGCATCCAAGCCACCATGTCCCTAAACCCTAATCCCTAAACCCTACACCCCAAACCCTAAACCCTAAACCCAAACCCTAAACCCTAAACCCTAAATGAAAACCCATCCAAGCCACCATGTGTACATGAAAACCCTTTCCTTGGCGCGATTCTCGCCTTCTGGCAAGGGCTCACCCGAAGCTGTAAGGCCATCCTAAGTTGCTGTTATAAGGAACTTAAATTGACTTACCATAATGGGTATATAGGGTTTAGGGTTTAGGGTTGAGGGCTTGGGGATAATATCCCCCTAGAATGGAGAATCAAATGGAAAAGAAAATGGAAAATGAAATGGAAACTGGGGAATATCGGGATTTAGGGAGCTGAAATTAAGTTGCCCACAATATGGGCATATTGCAAATACTACGGGTTTCCTTACTATAGCTATAGTAACTCAACTTCAGTTCCTTAACAGCAAGCCAGCATCAGCAGGTAATTGGATAGCTTTGTCTTGAAAGAGCGAGATGAACATGAAGCTGTCCAGGATGTCCAGCCAGACTCCTGGGTTGCTGTTAAGG